AAACCAATAAAATATGGAGGGGTTACTGCATATTAAAATATATATAGAAGTATATAAATAAAACATAATTTATTCATCTCTTGGTATTAAAAAAAGAGGAGCCAAGCCTTTAAAATAAGGGGCATACAGTATCAAAACAAGAAGTGAGAAGCTCTCTAACTATGAGCTAGTACCTCTAACCTTGAGACCTCGTGCCATTACATTTTACAGACAACTCAAAGCTGTTTGTAAATTCTCAGCATCCAACTTTTTCTGATATTAAAGATCCCTCTTCCTTTATTCCACACCCTTTTTTTATCCCTCTCCTTCTCTTGCACCCCACTCTGCTTCTTCATTATAGCTACTGCTTTCGTTTGCTACCCTATTTTTTTTCTCATATCTTATCTACCCTTCCTTCCCCCTTCACTCTTCTTTCCCACCCACCTGCTCCTCCTGTCATCTCTCCTGCTGGTCCCACCTACTCTACCTCCTTTTGCTCTTCGCTTCCTATCTCCCCTCTTTCCTCTTCTAACGTGGGTTAGATTCTTCATGTCTGCAGGATCTGTCTCCTCCTATAGCAGATTAGATTGCTAGTGTCTCCAGTATCTGCTCTGTCGTCTGTAGCAGTGTCCACATTGTTCTCCAGCTCACTGTCAGTATCCATATATCCACATGGCTGTCTGTGTATGTGTGTTAATGTGTCTGCATCTGCACGTTTGCAGCTTGTGTGATTGGTACGGTGTGTTTGTAGCTACAGTATGTGTTGTGCATGTATGTGTGTACATCCACGTGTCTCATGCATCTCTTGTGTGTGTATGTGTACACGCTTTGTTGCAGCTACATTATTTTGCATCATGTGTGTCAGCGTTTTGGCCTGTACCACAGTATGTCAGTGCAATTGTTGTTGCATGCTTGTATATCAATTTCTCTGCACACAAGCTTGTATCTTTGTGCATGTGCAGGTATGTTTATCTTTGCAATTATGTGTCTATGTGTATATGTATGTGTGTGTGTGTGTGTGTGTGTGTGTGTGTGTGTGTGTGTGTGTGTGTGTTTGCGATAGCTCTAGGTCTAGCTGGCTGTCAGTCTTGATAAGGCCAGCGGTTGGGAGGCGTTAGTCGGGGCTGCTGCTCGCCTGGCCTCCGCGTGGTGGATCTGCTGAGAAGGAGCTGAACCATTAGACACGCTGCAGTGACTACAGAGAGAAGAGAAGGGGTGGGAGGTGGGGAGGGTGGAGATATATGGTGTGAAAGCCAGAGATGGGAAAAGGAGAGTGAAAGAGATGCGGGAATGAGGATTTGTTTTGGGGTGGGAGGGTGGAGGGTGGTTTGACGGAGTGCAAATAAGATTGAGAGCGAAATTGGGAGGGATACAAGACAGAGACCAAGATGGGTAGATGGAAGAGCAGGAGGTGAAGAGATAGAAAAGGGACAGGGAGGGGGGAAAAGCAGACAGAGGGCAGGTGTAGGAGGAAGGTAGATGGGGAGGGAGAGTGAAGAGAGATGGGGTGAGCGGTGGAGAGGTAGAGAAGAAGAGAAACTGACAAGGAGGAGGACGATAGAAAAAAAAAAATTGGTTGTGGAGTGATAAAGAGAGGAAAGGGTGTAACTGTTAGTGTCCACCCTCACAAAATATACATGTGGCTATCACTGCCTGGTTTGCACACATGAAAAACTGAACAGAGCAATTAAAAAAAAACACTGTAAGGCAGTGAAATCTTTATCTATCCTGTCACCTCTTTCCTCCCCTCCCTTCATTTCTTCTCCATGTTTTCCCCTATGTGCAGCATTAAATATTCTATCGATCATTAAATGTTCCTGCCTTCTGAGAAGCATTTGTTCCGTCTTCTCACTCCCCTCTTTCTCTCTATCTCCCCCTCTTTTTGTGCTTCCCTGTGTAGCTACAACAATCCAGCTATCATCGCCAGAGCTTGTTTTTCTCCTCTGCCTGCCCTGGTTTAGAAACACTGAATATGTTTCATGGTTCCTCCATCTCCCCGAGGAGCATTTGTGTCTTGCGTGTAAGAGGTGGCTGGAGTTGAAGTTGCCATCGGCCTTGTCAACAGGATAAGTGTGTCTGTAGCTTCTCACAATGTCGACTGCGAGTTGTCAGTTTGAATTTGGTGTGAGAACCAAAATTGGACTTGCACACCTAACCAAAGTGTTATTATACTGTACATGCAGGGCAAGGCAATAGCTTCAGTGTGTGGTGTGATAAGAAGTATAGTGTTATAGAGATATTTGTCAGTCAGCAAATTAATCAGTTTAAAGACTGAATTGGCATAATTTGTTCAGTTTATGGTTATTATGACATGACATTAAGCAGCTCAAGTGCTTCTTAAAATAGCAAGGGGCTGATGCTCTCTGCAATGTGGAGCAAAATTCGATGCATCACCCCCTCACACAGCCTCTAAATCCCATAGTAAAAGTATCTGTTGTGATTAGAACAGTATTTATGCTTCAGTACATGAGCTTTTCTTGCCTCACATATCGACAGAAGCAGATTTTGTTGGACTCTTTATAGTGTTAAGGTGAAAAAAGAAGAACAAGGTGTCATGTTTTTTGAGGGACAGGCTCAATTTGTCAAGTGCAGATGCCACTGTCTGCTGCAGTCCAAAAGGTGACTTCAAGTCATCTTCTGCATGATGAACATGAGGGGTTTTACAAAAGGGGGTACGTACAAAAATGACACAGACACTGCTCAGCGCTGCTATGTGTACTGGGTGAATTTAGTGTTTACTCCTTGTTTTGACAAATGCATGAGTCACGTCTCCTCCCACCGTGACTCCCTCTCCTGGTATGGACATTATTAAATGAACACACCTAGAGTCACAGGGATTAGTGGTGTCAGTGGTGTTTGTTACAGCAGTCACAAAATATGCATGTTGCTCATTTTCCTTTGAAGTTGAAAAGTAATTTTGAAGCTAATGAGCTAAGAATAAAGCCAGTAGTGGGTGACAGGAATGAAGGGAGAAAGGGGGGGTGGTGTAACAAACGATCAAAGTTGAGTCAGCCTACTGACAGTGTTTAAAACAACAGTTTCCCTGACCCACCGCCTCTTTTTGGATTTGAACAGCTCACCCACCGGCTGTCTGTGACATTTACCAATAGTGAGGATGTGATGTAACCATCGTTGCTACTAAACTAGGTTAGGCCCTGGCAGTTAAAGGGGCGTCTGAGGCTGCTTATATCACTGTGGTTATCAAGTGGCTAAGTGTAAATGAGTGATTGTAATGTCACCACTGCAGGAACAGAAAAAGCCTGAGAAGGTGTATCGGTGTTTACCAGACCAAAGCACAGCGCCGGAAGGTTTCACATACTGCAGCACATGAGTAAAAGCATCTGATTAAAAAGACAATCTAATGCCAGTCACACTGACACATACATCAAACTTACAATTAAACAACAAGAATTATACACGATATCTTATATGTTAATGGGGAATAAGAATCAGGAAACTGAATTTGAGCTCTCAGCCCAAACAGAGAAATCAGTACCTGCTGCAAAGTACAGAGAGAAAATTACACTGTAATACACAGACTCAATTAATTTTACTTCTTTTAATGAGACTGTGTGAGGGTGTGCTATAGGAAAAGACAAAACTCTGATTCAATTATGGAATCATAGACGTGGATTTATTAGACTATTGCCTGAAAAGTTCACAATTTTGGAAATAGCCACAATACTGTACATATGTTAATAAAATAAGCATATTATAGAACTCTTCATGGAGGCAAATTAACATCAGTGTTTTTATTTTTTTAAAACTAGATTTCAGTGGTTGTGATTAAATTAAAAAGCCAAAGGGATAGCTTCCCATCCAAACCCATGTGAAATACTGCTGAAGTCTGTTTACACCTCCCTGCAAGCGGACACACATCTTTTACAAGATAAGACATATCAAGGACTCCACGTGTTGTTTGTCCCACAAATAATAATCAGCATATTCAGCTCCAGTTTTGTTCTGTAACAACGATAATATTATCGAAATATTACGTCATCATACACTTTTTGTTGTTCTAATAATTCCAAAGCACTTGAAAGATAGCATTTACACAACCAGAGAGTATGTTCAGGATCAGCTTTTACTCAAGCTACTTTAAAAGGTGGAGTATAATATCAGATGTGATGCTATTTACCCACTTTATATAAAAGATGCACCTATATTCATACTTGCCATGTTCTAGGTGCAACTGAAATAACTTTATTTGCAAGTTTGAATGTTTTGAAAGAAGGCCAGCACACTTGGATCTCAGAACTGAATTTATAGAATTGCAAAAGTTAAACTTAGAGAGTTAACAGTAAAAGAACCAAACCAGTAAATTCATTTGGTCTTGGGGACTCTTTTGCAGGGTATATCATTATTTATTATTCATTATTTAAAAAGTACACACTGATTATAGAGTCCTAACAAGTTCTTGCTTATTACAGTGAAGTTTTACAAGCTTTGTAATTGTTTTTTCAAGATATCAGGAAGAACAAGTTTTTCCTCTCTTGCTACAGCCGTGTCATTGCATAACTCTTCTGTCTTTTCTCTTTTTTTTCCTCCCTGTCGTCTTTCAGGAAACAAAAGATGAATTTTGGCCGGTGTTAGCTCCTCCCCATTCCTGCTCTGTCTCACACACACTCTAAAACACACACACACACACACACACACACACACACACACATACTCTCTCACTCTTTCTGCTCTCTTTCTCTTTTACACTCTCTTTCCTTCCTGCTCCCACAAATGCAGCAGTGCTTGCATTCGGTGTGTGTGCACATTTATTTCTTTTCTTTTTTTTGGGGGGGGGGGGGCAGAGACAGAGGAAGACACGGAAAGACAGAGAGTGTTGCTGTAATAGAAAGTGAGAAAAGGGAGGGGAGGGAGGTAGCTAGAGATGGTAGGGAGGGAGGGAAGGAGGGAGGGAGGGGTAAGACAGATAGAGAGAGCGGGCGAGCGAAGGGGACGGAAGGGAGGGGAGAGAGCGTGAGAGAGAGAGAGAGAGAGAGAGAGAGAGAGAGAGAGAAAAGAGGGGGAGCACATGTGTATGCTTGTCACTAAGGGGCTGGGAGAAGGACTAAGGGAAGCGAGGTAGCTGGCCACAGCCGCCATATGCTGACTGGATTCCTGTTCATGTCTGCTGTGTGAAGACTGTAGGTTTCTGTTGTGTGCTGGCCGGCTGGGGAACACACCATGGGAAGCTCACATCTCCTCAACAAAGGCATGCCTCTAGGTAAACAACCAGCACTCTGCTTTTATGTGGGGGAACTGTGTGTGTGTGTGTGTGTATGTGTGTGCGTGAATGTGTGTGTGTGTGTTTGTGTGCCAATATTTGTGAACTCAGTGTACATTATTCTGCCTTCCTCCTCCCCTCCCCCTTCTCTCTCTTCCTCTCCCTTTTTCCGTCTCCTCCTTCTCTTCTTAATTCTCTCACTCTATTATCTTTTTTTATCGCTCAGCCTCTCTTTCGCCACACAAGAATGGTTAGCCTTTTCTGTACAGCTCTGTGTGAGTGTGTATGTGTGTGCGTGTGTGTGTAATTGTGTGTGTGTGTGCGCGTGTGTGTGTGTGTGTGTGTGTGTGTGTGAAGAGGCAAATCTCTGCTATTGAAGGCTGCTTGAACACCTCCATTTGTGGCGACAGAAATAGATCTCTCTCTCCTTCGAGGGCTAGCAAGGACATGACACATATTTCCCTTTCATTGTGCTTCTTTTACGGAGAGCAGTTGCCTTCACTGAAGCGCACACACATACACACACGCACACAAACACACACACAAATACAAATCACAGGCATGTATGCGCACACATACTCACATATGTATAGGGAACTCAACGGACAAAAATACTGAAGTATACACATGCATACACACAGCTGGACTCACACACAGGTGAGAGATGCACCTTATGATAAGGTCTAGAGAAGACTATTCTAGAAAATGGGATCTGAATGGTTAGGGGCGACATAACATAACAGCGTCACTAGCATCGAGGTGTAGAGTCGCGCCGAGAGACACGCTGGTGCTCTCACAGAAACGCCGAAGGAGGGTGTGAGGATAAACGATCATCCACCCTAAAGCTGAATTATTGTATCTGTGGTCACCTAAATCTGGATTTGTGAAGCGGTTTCTCCAAAAAGAAACCAGAGATTGTAACGTGATGTCATCAACAGGCTGCGGGCTGTGTCTCTTGATGACATCAAAGATTAAAGTTGCAGCTCTGATCTTTTTTGCTTCCCCCTCCCTCCCTTCCTCCTTACCCCCCCCCCCCCTTTTTTTTTCTCGCTTCGGGAGAGATCTTCTCCATATCCGCCTCAACTATGTCCCAACAGCTCAAGAGTCCAAGGTCACAGGAATAACGACTGTGAATTATGGTTCAGGGAGGTTTGCCCTTTTAAGATGCTCATGCACAAATCACCACTAGTCAATAATCATGACACTGATCTGATCATGGGATCTGTCTTGGCACTCAGTGAAGCTCAGTGAACCTTTGAAGGTCTGCTTTAAAATCGGCTTGTCATCCCTGCTGATTGATGGATATGTCGACTCATGTTTTGGAAGGCAGGGGTCCTCTGATCTGTGACTGTTGAGTCATGTCTGATCTGACTATAAAGACCTAGATTAATGACACACACACACACACACACACACACACACACACACACGTCAGTCACTTCATACATCCTTTGTAAAATCAGAACATTTCTGGATAAAAGCCTTAAGTGTAATCTTATTGTTCATTTGGCTAATTTGACTGGTGCATTTGATTTACATAATGATCTTAAAAGCTGTTTAGAAGGTAAAGAATAATGGGATTGTGCGTAATAGATCCAGGCAGTTTCCCACCAGGAGGTGAGGTTGCCTTATTATGCCACAGGATAAAATCAAGGAAACGGCTCATGTTGTGACATGTTGCCAACTGATGAAAACCACAACTCAGTGTCACTTGGAAGTATTAGTTTACAAGTCATGAACACACTTGCACGACTGACTAAATATAGGCTAAAATGACAATGAACAGACACCTGGTTTTAATGGATTAACAGTTAAAAAATGTAACTTTTTATAAGCTTTACTTCACATCCAAAACACTACAAATCAGTTTAGGGAATGTTAGACATCTCAGTTTTTACACATTTGCATCTACCATAATACACACTTAAACATTCACTGAATTATTATATTGCATGAACACTTTCACCATCACAGATGAGGATTTTGAGTTGAGCATTTAAGCAGGGACTCATGAACCTGACTAGTCTAAAAGAATAGACAGCGATGCAGGTATAATTGACAGCACTTAGAAATCTATGAAGCTTGAAGTGCTGAGCAAGGAGACTATGTAGTAACAACCACTGAGAGGCTAGGGCTATTATGTCTAATGCATATAATGCTTGAGATAAAAAGAGAGGTAGCAGTGAAAAATCTACCAGCCACTGCTGAGAGGTTGGGCATTTTTTAAGGTGAGATATCTGCAGTGAAGGTTAGCTAATATAAAACTTACCAATTAAATTGACTACATTGAAATTCGTTCATTTTATTAAGAAATGATCATCAAAAAGGGAAATGTAACTGAGAAGCACATCAGTCTAGACAGGTGGCGAAATAACAGTGCCATCATGTACAGAAAAAATAACTGGCCTGCAATGTAACATCCCAAAACAACAATTAGTAGACAGGCTATAATTCAACTTATGAGCCCTTAATGAAAAGCACTCATTACTCAGGAACATGCCTTGTTGTTATTAATTTATATGTCAGCAGAGTCAGGTGAGTCTGTTTAGTGTAAGACCTGCAGCTGAAAGAACTCACTCAGCTGGCAGCCATGAAGCAGGGACAGCAGGACAGCACCTGCACAGTTTTTCTATTGGTGTCATCACATACAAATTTACGGTCATTGTCTGCACTAGAAGGCTTCTATTGCAATATTTATTAGGTGGCAGCAACTTTGGTTGTCTCACTGTTTAAAATCAGCACCTTGCGTTTAAATGAAAGATCTGAAAAAAGTAGAAATGTGGTCGGCTTAATGAGCATATAGGTCTTCCACTGACGCACTGTAGATCTACTGTGGTCATCTACAGATAATTGAGTATGAAATAAATCTGGGCATACTAAATACTCTTAGCTTGATCTTATGAGCCAGTAATAACAATAAACTGTCATATAACCTACTGATTAATAGGCCAACTCTAATTAACAGGAAATACGTGCAATGAAACAATATTTAATTTTGCTGGGGAAAGCCTTTGAACCCATTCAAAGACCCCCTGTGGGTCCTTGGACACCAGTTTGGGAACCCTTAATCTAAATACAATAAACGTTTCATAGCTTTAATAATCCATTAATGGGGCACATTTACTCCAGAGTATCCAGACTGACCCCAATCCAATTGAAACTTGAAAGCGATTGTGACTTTCTTCTGCATATTAACAGTTAATCCAATATAATGGGCCAACGTCCATACAATAATCCAGTTATGGCCTGAATTTAAATGTAGTATTTCTTATTGTGCAAGTATTGTATAAGTCAGTACTTAACGTTTTTGGTTTGTGGCATCTTACAAATCTATTGTCTATTGGTGACACCCCTCACAGTGGAAATATACAGCTAGTTTCCTCATTTCGGGTTGTTACATTTTACTCTCTTCTCAGAGGCCTATGGGTTGAAAATAACTAATTATTTGACATAAAACTGCTATAAAATCTAATTTTTAATAGAGGATGTGTGTTTTCTAACTTGCATATCCAGCCTCCATTTTTTTTTCTGTGGTCTCTGATTCAGTGCAGGGGTGTGTAGTGGCTATAGTGGCTACTACTATATAGCTTTATTGATCTATTGATCGAGACCTAGGCAGCGGTTACTGTAAAGCTGTAATTTGTCCTTTCAAACCTTAACTGATTGCCATGTACCTTCTATCTGCACATAGAGGAAGTAGAACTGCTATAAAATTTAGAGATGAGTAAATATACGCAGGTTGTCAGCCCTGCTCAGACACAGAGGTGAATTAACTAAGATTTGCCTCTTCAAACTTTGACTTTGAATCGGTCGCCACAACTAAGATGCTGCCAAATGTTGTATCTCCTTGTGTGTTTTGCTGCTGATGTTTTAGTAATGGGAACAAAAAGCTGACAAACCTGAACTGGCTTGCTGATACACTACCAGCAAATTAAGACCTTGTTTTTATGTGTATGTTTGTGTGTATACAAGTCAGTGTGTGCGAGAGAGGGAAGAAGAGGAGACCTGCAGGGTGATCATTTCTATGTGTAAGCACTTTGATGTATCATATATCACTGCATATTAGTTATGTCAACCTGCATGGATTGGTGTGCTGAGTGTGCACCTGTATTTCTGTACATGTGGGTGGGGCAGGATGTGTGTGTGTGTGTGTGTGTGTGTGTGTGTTTACGTCAAGCTACCTGAACACTTTGTCCCTGCACATTCAGCCGTTTTTAAGTAATGATATAAAACATGGTTTTTCTCATTCTTAGAGAGATACATGGGACAGGGGGGAAAAAAGAGGAAATGGCGAAGGAGATAAAGAAAGCCTGGGGAAATGAGACTGAAATTAGAGATGGAGATCTGAAAATGAGGCAACACAAGATGAAGGGATGGCAGGATCAACACTGAGGGGGTGAAAGACAGATATGGGGGCTTTTTAACCACGTCATGTTGCTGCATGCCACAAGGGCCAGTAACATTATAAATCAGCCGTGCTGTGGCTCGATGGTTGGTTGCTACAGTTGCAGGCGACTGACAGATCACAGGTGCCGACACCAACACTTTCCTCTCTTCTCTCTTCTGAACAGTGCAAAATACAAACACTGCAGCTGAAATGTGAGTATGTCATTTTTGCCAGGGTTCATTTTCAGTTCAGTCGGAGAGGGACTGAAAAGAGATTTAATTCAAGAAGTCTGACCTTATTTCAGAACTGAAAAACATGTAACAGCTGCTAGTTCTTTGGCAATAACTGAAAATGGTTTGTAAAGGTGTGTATGTGAACTGTAGTTTAAATAGACTGAAATGAAGCTGAATGGACGCTGGCTTTGATCCTAATACATCTGATAGGCCTATGTGCTATGGCTGTGAAAGTGAGAGGTGTTTATGGGTGTCAAATCCAACACATCATACATAAATAAGATTTATGTAAAGCTGCAACTATTATTTTCATGATTGATTAATCGACTAATTGTTTTTCTTGATTCAGTGATAAATTGTTCGGTCTATAAAAAGTCAGA